GTCGAGCTGTCAACTCAGCCTCTCGACGTGCGCGGCCATGATCCACAACATCTTGTGCATTGGCACCTCCCCCAGCCGGGTTGTTCCCTCGTGGCGAATTTCGGCGGCGTGCACTACTGGACACGGCCGGTTCGTCTTCCACGTGTCTGCTATAACTCCGGCTTGGGCGGGGAGTGGAGTGAATCCTCTCACGGCTGTGTGAATATGCTTGCTGTTGATTTAGTGCTGTCTGAAGGAGATCCCTGGCCCGGCGTGCTTCCACTGCCACTGGTGACTCGCCGTCGGTTGGGAGGGCCGCCAGGCGTGACGCAGCGGCCACATGTTGTCCAACGGGTTGGAATAATGCCCAGGCGGCGTTGATGGTATAATGTTGTTCTGGCGAGGCAGGTCCTTCGTGCGCAGCTGAACTGGCGCTCCTGCTCCCGGCACCCCCGCCTGGTTACCAGCTCCTGCGCCTGGCGTGTTGAAAAGATTCTGCGGCTCATAAACCGACGGGAGACGTGATCAGTACCTTCTTCTCATGACTTCCTCTGAAGCATTCTGGTCCAGTCTAATCCGGTAAGCCTGTGCTTCCAACTCGGCCCGCTCCATAGCCATCCTGGCGTTCTCTGCTGCCAGGTCCGCCTTGGCCTGGGCTATCTGATCTTTCACCTTTGCAATCTCCACATCGTGCTGATCCCTGGCTGCTGTGTCTACCTCCGCGGACATCAATGTTGCCAGAGCGTCGAAAAAATCAGATAAGACTTGGGCCGGAGGTGGCGCCGAGCTTCCTGCCCCTGCTGGTGTGGTCGTTGTTGAACCGGAGAGCATTGCTGTGGCGGTAGATGAATGAGGCGCCGATTGTGTGCCGGCCATGAAGATGGCGGCCCGGTTTGGCAGGCTGGGGGAATCCGGAATACTGTTGCCGTCGGATCCTCCCTCAATCCGACCGTCCTACAACTGCTAAAGCGATTCGGTTTCTCCAGAAGACTCGTCATTAGAGCAGAATACGGTTTCTCCTTCGGACACCGGTCCGTCCTCATGCCCTGATCCATGGACGACACCTACGAAAACATGCCTTGCCTCGGGCTGAACCGGCGAAGGACTTGCACGCCGAGGCGTTTCGATGATGTCGGTGCAGATGTCCGGCTCGGGGGCCGGTTCACCGATCTTCCTGATGAAGACGTGAATCCCACCAAAGGGGACCCGGTACCCGTATTCGATTGAATCGGCCTTGGGACCCCATCATGCGTTGTCGATGTAGAGCTTTCCGCGGCGACTCTTCGTCATCCGGCCCACAGCGTATCCCTTAAGTCCATCGAAGCTGCCCTTCAAGAACTCGAAACCATCGTGCGATAGCCCCACGGTGGGCGCCAACTGTCGTGGGTTTATCACGGCAGATGTCCTCATGAAAGGACTTAGTTGTGGAGCCATCGCAACGGGTTAGCTTAAAGGGGTTAAACCGGACAAGGGGACACGGGAGTTTATACTAATTCAGCCCCTTCGATGAAGGTAAAAGCCTACGTCTAGTTGTGATTGGTATTGCTAGGGTTTCGAAGGCCAGGGAGCGAATCCGCTTTGTCTAGCTTTCGAGTTGTTGTTGTCTATCTCTAAACCGCGGCTGGGTCGTCCCTTTATATACATAGGTTGACGCCCGCCGGGCTACAGAGTCCGGAAGCCGGTTTATAAACGTATCCGGTTCGGCCTCTCTCTTTCTATCTTACTATACAAGTTACATGACTGGTCCGGTTTACATTTACATACTGTAACTCGTCTTTGGGCCCTCCGTAAAGCGCTAGCATCTTTACATCTTCATGGGCTTCTAATCTTCAAAGAGTCAACCCGGCTATCCAAGGCCGGTTTACCTCCGGTAGTAATATCCCCAACAGGACCTATAGATCGGAAGGTCCCTATTCCAAACGACCTGAGAAGCCTCATGTTCCGGCATGAACAAGAATTGAGATTTGATACGCTTGCTCTTCATTAGTGCCGGAGCTATGTGTTAGCTTGAGGGGGCAATGCCCCCCCCCCCACCCCCCGGCGCCTTCATACAGACTGCAATAAGTGAGTATTGGTCTCGATTTCTTTTCTTCTTGTGAATTGATTGACTTGCCCTGGTTAGAATTGTTTTGAAATTTAAATTCTTTGATATTCTCATCGGTTACAATCTATCCAAAGGTTGATTCTCATGAAAACATTTGATTCGTTTGTAGCTCCTTTCATTTTCATATTTTCTCTAACCATCACTTTACGTGACTCTATTAGAATAATCTCAGCTGCATGTTGAACTTTTGAAGTTCGGGGGTCATGCTGAGAATATTTTTCCCTATATAATGACTTTCCTTTCCCGTTGATTTTTTTTTCAAACTCGCAGTTTTTTTCTTTTAGCTTGAAAACACAGTCATCACCACTAGATATTCTTCATATATCCACTAACGGTAACCAACTTACTTAATTTCAACATTTTTCCCTTCAAACATGCATAGTGTACTTTTTCCCTGATATGTCCCAGGGGAAGAAGAAATTCTTGATTATCTATTTAAGTTATGAGCGCCACATGTTATTTTACTTCCTCTCTTCTCTTACAGATAACTATCTTCATTTTATCATTTTATTCTCTTACAACGACAATGCTATAACAAGGGAGGACGAAGACAATGGAGGTGGATGGGAAGGAGGGGCATGCAGAAATATGCTGCTTGGTCTTCTTGTAGTGAAACGGTGGCTAGCTAGGGAGACATGGGCGATTATCGAGGATAAAAGAAGCAAGATATAGAATCGATATTTGTCCTTGTATGATCACTTGTTGTCATGTTTGGAAAACGTTTTTGTATTAAATCAATTGTTTAAATAGTACACAAACATTCAACTAGTTTCCTCTATAATAAAATCAACATCTGTGTTACTCGCACGTTCCTTTGTTACAAAACACCTTGCATAATAGGTTTTGTTAAGACAAATCTTTAGCCAAAATTTACGCTGTTAATATGAAAGTTTGTGATACATAATCATAATAAAAAAATAAGTACTATTATCTGAATCCTTCACCGAGGGGTGGAGGTGTCGCCACCTGTATATTGATCCAAGTTAATAAAAACTGAGCCGGTTTATGAGGGAAAACGGGTTGTACACCATGATCTAATTTATGTGAGAAACCAGATTGAAAATCTTGATCCACTTTATGAGAAAAACCAGATTAAAAAACATTGAAAAAACTTAAAACCCAAGGAGCAACACATCCTGCTAATGCAAGAACAAGGAAAACAGAAAAAACACCCCACACACAGTTATAAGACAACACAAAGTTCAACTACGTAAGGATATATGAGGCTGGGTGGTGCAGCATAGGTTATGTTGTAGGGGAAACTTCATTTTTGCCACTCTAGCTTTTGCCCACTTTGTTTATGTCACTCTAGAATTTGACATTTCACTTTTGCCACTCTTAGTTTTTGAAAATATACCACAATTGCTGTTCGTGGAAAAAGCAAAATTTTTACAGTGACAATTGTGATACATTATCGAAAGCTAAGAGTGGTAAAAATGAAACAAAAAATATTTGCTTTTGCCACGGCATGGCATTTGAGATATATTGTCAAAAGTTAAGAGCAATAAGCGTTAAATTCTAGAATGACATAATCAAAGTGGGCAAAAACTAGAGTGATGAAAACAAAGTTTTCCCAATGTTGTAACCACCCACAAGACAACATGGTGACAAAGTCAGCAGTCGAAAGAGCAAACCACCAGCGACAACGTTGAAACCACTAACATAGGATAATGCAGCGTTCCACCGTCAAGGAGCTGCACCACTACCAGCCCTGGTCTTGCCAGTGGCAAGGTGAGAATGACGGAGGGAAAATTGCTGGATCCATTAGGGTGGTCTCACCCGTATCAGGTGAGAATGACAAAAGTAAGTACTTTTGAATGTGCATCCAAAAGTATACTAGCAGGGGTAATTGTTGGCCAAAGCTCGCGTTGCGACACGTAATCTGCAAGGTATTCCAGAAAGGAGGGCGTAGTAACGTTTCATAAGTCTGGAGGGAGCAAAAGAACCGTCGCCTGCTTTGCAAGAATGTTTTGTATTCATTATCTCCTTGAGACAATAAATCATGATACACGTAACATCTTGAGCAAACACATGATTCATTTTGCAGTACATATTTTTGTCCGTTATATTTTATATCGGTCGAATGTTCCGAGCTGCGTATGCTAGGCAGTGTTACCCAAGGATCAACTTACTATTGAAACCAGACAGCACGCACCATGTACATGTACCCAAAAATCGGCATGTCAGTCGGAGTTCAACCTATAATTTGCGCGGCGTAGGTAGAAGTACCTGAAATGCTCAAAAAATAAAACAGATAAAATGTGGTACACAGCTTTAAATGGGGTAAAATTGATATAAATTGCTTAAATGAGGTAATCCCTGTCAAAAATGACAAAAGATGGGACAAAAAAATAGATTCCTTTTGTTCCATACGCCTCCCAGGCTCCCAGCTGGGAGCCAGGTTCCATTACGTCATCTTGGGCGAAGTTATTGTTGCTTCTTACTTGGCATATATGCAGCAAACTATCCTCGTGAAGACTTGGTAAAAGAACTAGCTTCTAGTAGAGCCACTGAACAGCACCTCAGTTGTCGAGTTGCCAAATGTGTTTATCTCCTATGCTTCTAAAAAACTATGCCTCGACAGTCACAAGAAACTCTCCAACGAATCAAATGCAAGTACAATGCCTGATCATAAAATACAAGCACAATGCCAGACCCTAACTATTCTTCTTGCTGTGCAAACCCCAACAAGAAACCCCAACAAGAACCGGCTCAATCTTTTAGAAGATCCAAGAACGAGATTAGTCGCTGGAGCAACAAGAATTATACCTTCTTCGTGGCTCTTGGTGCGTGTCTCCACACTTAGCATCTCACTATAAATTCTGCTGGTCACTCATTCGGATGATATAACAACCACACAGCATCGACAGCTACTAACCTGGAATCACCGGGGCGTGAATCTCAGTTATTTAGGTCAATGGCGTGTCCACCGCACGCGATCGTCATCCCCTACCCGGCACAGGGCCACGTCATCCCGCTCATGGAGGTCGCGCACGCGCTGGCCGACAGGGGCTTCAACGTCACCTTCGTCAACACCGAGTTCAACCACGCTCGTGTCGTCGCCTCCATGTCGAACGGCGCCGGCAGCGGCCTGGGCCGGATCCGGCTCGTGGCGGTGCCGGATGGCATGGCCCCCGGGGAGGACCGGAACCAGCTGGTGAAGTTGACCATACTCATGGCGGGGTTCATGGCGCCGCGGGTGGAGGAGCTCATTCTCCGGAGCGGCGAGGCGGCGGTGCTGGACGGCGCGTGCCCGGGCAAGATCACCTGCATGGTCACGGACTACAACGTCGGGTATTGGGCGGTGGACATTGCTCGGAGGACCGGGATCCGGGTGGGGGCCGTTTGGCCGGCGTCAGCCGCCGTCATGGTCACCTTGCTGAGCTTTCCTAAGCTGATTGAGGACAACATCATCGATGCGGAAGATGGTATAGCTGATCGAGCAACTTATTTGACTTCTCTTACATTATTTACTGACCAGTTCGTATTTGCATGCAGGGTCTACAGTGGGTGAAGGAACATTCCAGCTGAGCCCCGACATGCCTCTCATGCACAGCGCCCACCTCGCATGGAACTGCATCGGCGACCACGACCAGCAGGCGACCCTCTACCGGCTCCTTTGTGACGGCGTCCGCGCAATGGAGCAGTGCGACTTCGTCATCTGCAACTCCTTCCAGGACGCGGAGCCGGCATCTTTCAAACTCTTCCCCAACGTCCTCCCCGTTGGCCCGCTCCTCACCGGCGAGCGCAGCGGCAAGGCCGTCGGCCACTTCTGGCAGCCGGAGGACGACGAGTGCATGTCCTGGCTCGACGCGCAGCCAGAGAGATCCGTAGTGTACGTGGCCTTCGGCAGCTTCACCATGTTTAACCGGCGCCAGTTCGAGGAGCTCGCGTTGGGGCTGGAGCTCTCCGGCAGGCCATTCCTGTGGGTCGTGCGCCCGGACATTGGGCACGGCGCAGTGCACGACTACCCGGAAGGCTACCTGGACCGGGTGTGCGGCCCCGGTGGCCAGGGCAAGCTCGTCTCCTGGTCGCCGCAGCAGCGCGTGCTGGCGCACCCCGCGGTGGCGTGCTTCGTGTCGCACTGCGGGTGGAACTCCACCATGGAGGGCGTTCGGAACGGCGTGCCGTTCCTCGCCTGGCCCTACTTCGCCGACCAGTTCGTCAACCAGGTGTACATCTCCGATGTGTGGAAGGTCGGCCTCAAGGCCGTCGCCAACGAGTCGGGAGTCATAACCAAGGAGCACATCGCCGGCAGGGTGGAGGAGCTGATGGGGGACCCCGGCATGAGGGAGAGGGTGGAGGCCATGAAGAAGGGCGCACACGAGAGCATTCAGGAAGGTGGCTCCTCGCATGGAAACTTCGATGCTTTTGCGGAGGCCATGAAGAATGCAGCGCCTGAGAGTGTTCAGGACGGGGGCTCCTCACATGGAAACTTCCACTCTCTTGCGGAGGGTATGAAGGCATGATCATCTGGTGCTCGATTGTACGTGTGGTAGTGTGTGCAATTTTGCATTCCCAAACAGAATAAAAAGTTCGACCATAACCATTAGCCTCTATATTTGCTGCTTTTCTGTTCCGTCCCGAATTACTTTGTCGCAGGAATGGATCTGGATGGATGGAATATAAGACGTTTTTCGACACTGTCAGACTCTAAACACATCTTAGAAAAAGTTACAGAGATAATACCTGAGAATTTTGGATGCGTCCGTAGATAACATGATGAGGAGCAGCAGTGTAGCCCCAAGGCCAAGACAGGGAGGCCGCGACGAGGCCTTGTCAGGAACTAAACGGAGGCAGGATGTCAGCCACTTCCTATTCTACGCTTAAAGCACTGTAACGGTACACAGCGCACACACCACCTGACCGCTTGCGTAGTGAGCCGGCCCATGTGGAATCTTTTTCCGCTGGTTTTTGGAAGGTTCCCCCAGTTTTTTGGTGCGGTTTTTTCTGTGGTTTATTTTAGAACAGCTTTTATTCTATTTTTTTCTTTTTCTTCTTTTTTCTTCTCTTAATTTGTGGATTTTTTTCAAATTCATGATATATTCATAAATTCATGAACTTCTTTTACATCCTAAAATTAATTTTAAATTCATGAAACTTTTAAAATACACAAATCCTTTCCAAATCTGTGAATATTTTTGAAATCCACAAACTTTTTTTCAAAATGAATGAACTTTTTAAGTCCGCAACTCTTTTCCAAATCCGTGGTTTTTTCCAGTAGTGAACTACTAAAACAGTAAAGATACGACAAACTACCCATGTTGAAATCAATGTGAAGTGGTAGTCATTAAATAAGCAGATTTATTCTCGATCAAGATTGCTTTTCACAAGAACTTGACAGGAAGGGGAAGAAAGGAGGGGAGGGCATACCTTGGACCTTGTCTAAGACCTGCAGCTCGTCAGGAATGAGTCGGAGATGCTGCTGCTCCTGCTACTGCAAGCTTCCGGTCGTCTATAGGGAGGCTGGGGTGCCGCATCGAGGGCCGGCAATAGGGCGCAGATGGAGCCCATGATAGCCCTCACGGATAGTTGTTGTTAGACTTATAATATAAGTCATGTACCCCTTCGTATTTATTCCGTTGTATAAGAGGTTTCCTGCATATGTTTCACACCTGTACATGTATATATATATCGGCCTATGGCCTCATGGGAATACAAGTTGCATATTTCTAACATGGTATTAGAGCTTTAGGTTTTTTTAGCACGGGCAACTCGTGCGATCCAACCCTGTGCCGCCGGCCTTCTCCTTTGTCCGGCTGTGCTGTTCCGGCGTTGATCTCCTGCGGCCTCTTCCGTCGCGTCGCAGCCGCTGCCGCTGCTTCTTTCATTGGTCAACGCCCTCCCTCCCACGCTCGATCTTCATCAACGCCCGTGGTCGCTACTCTGCCTGAAGTCCTGATCCAGTGGGAGGATCCAACCGCCAGGTCCCGCCCGTGATCCAGTCGCCCGGTCCCGCCCACGATCCAGCTGCCCGGTCCTGCCCGTGACCCAGCCGCCAGGTCCCGCCCACGATCCAGCCACTGCTGCAGCCGGGTCCCAACTGCTCTCGATCAGTCGCCAGGTCCCGATTGAGACTCCTGATCGTTGGCCACCACTGATTCCTTGGGCCTGATCGAGACTCCTGCCGCAGCTGCAGATCCAGGCTCCTGATTATCGGTCTAAAAAAAAGGCGTGATGTCTCTGTCCTCGGGCTATGTTGCTGTCCCTCGCTGTCCGGTGATCTTTGATGGTACTAACTACACCGAGTTTACTGGCTTCATGCGCATTCACATGCGTGGCATCCGTCTTTGGGGTGTTCTTTCTGGCGAGGTCTGCTGTCCGCCACGTCCAGTTCCTCCGGTGGCCCCTACTCCGCCAACTCCATCGGTTCTTCCTACGGATGCTAATCAGGCCGCCAAGGATGCGGCTAAGGTTGCTGATGAGGCTGCTGATCGTGCTTATGATGAGAGGGTTTTGGCTTATGAGGAGGCTCTTCAGACGTATCATGGTGCTCTGTCTGTTTACAACCAGTGGCTTGATGATGATGCTCGTGCTGCAGCTGTTCTCACTGCTAGTGTTCTGCCTCAGTTTGCTTCTGAATTTCTGGGTCTTTCTACTGTCTTTGAGATGTGGACCCGTCTTTGTAAGCGCTATCAGCCCTCTGGTGATGCCTTATACCTCTCTGTGATCCGTCAGGAGCATGCTCTTCAGCAGGGTGACTACTGTTGATGACTTCTATGCACAGAGTTCTGCTATCTGGCGCCAGCTTGATTCTCTTCGTAGTGTTGGGTGTCGTACCTGCCCCTGTTGCCAGGCTGTCCAGGCCAATTTGGAGTTTCATCGCGTCTATGAGTTCTTGTCTCGGCTCCGTAAGGAGTTTGAGCCCCGGCGTGCTCAGTTGTTTGCTCGTGGCCGTATTTCTCTCATGGAGGCGCTTTCTGAGATTCGTGCTGAGGAGACTCGCTTACGTGGTGCTGGTTTGCTGGAGGTTCCCTCTGTGCTCGCTACTCGTGCTCCTACGCCACTTGCTCCACCGACCCCTTCTCGCTCGAGTGCTCCGCCGCTCTTGCCCACTCCTTCTGGAGGCTCAGGTCGCCCCCGTCCACATTGCGTCTATTGCAACAATGATGGTCATCTTGAGTCTCAGTGCTACACGAAGAAGAAACACCTGCGCAAGGCTCGTTCATCATCTTCCGGGACTTCGTCATCTACCTCGACAGCTTCAGCCATTGCTTTGACTGAGCAGGATATTCTGAGACTTAAGCGTCTGCTCGCGGCTTCAGGTTCTTCCTCGACGGGTACTGCCGGTTCTGTGACTGATGCTTCCCGCACTGAGCAATCACCCTCTACATAGTCAGGTACGTCCCCCTGGGTTCTGGACTCTGGAGCTTCTTTTCATATGTCTTCTCATTCTTCCACTTTGTCCTCTCTTCAATCACTGGATTCTCCTATTCATGTCTTCACTGCTGATGGTACTCCACTTTCTGTTGCTAGTAGAGGCAATCTTACTACTCCTTCTTATTCTGTTCCTGATGTTGCTCATGTTCCTCGACTTACCATGAATTTGTTTTCTGCTGGTCAACTTACGGATTCTGGTTGTCGCGTCATCCTTGACGTTGACTCTTGTTCTGTCCAGGACCGTCACACGCACACTCTGGTTGGGGCTGGCCCTCGCCGCCGTGATTCTCATGGTCTTTGGGAGTTGGACTGGCTTCATGTTCCTTCTGCTGCTGCCACCATCGCCAGTTCTTCCGCTTCTGTCGCCTCCGTCACTGGTTCCTTCCAGCAGTGGCATCATCGACTTGGTCATCTGTGTGGTTCTCGGTTGTCTTCTTTAGTTTGTCGAGGCCTTCTGGGGTCTGTCTCAGGAGATGTCTCTTTAGAGTGTCAAGGTTGTCATCTTGGCAAGCAGATTCAGTTACCATATTCACATAGTGAGTCAGTGTCCAAGCGTCCTTTCGATTTAGTCCATTCTGATGTATGGGGTCCGGCCCCTTTCGCTTCGAAAGGTGGTCATAAATACTATATTATTTTCATAGATGATTTCTCTCGTTACACATGGCTTTATTTCATGACTTCTCGTTCTGAGGTGTTGTCTATTTATAAGCGTTTTGCTGCCATGGTTCATACTCAGTTCTCTTCACCCATTCGTGTTTTTCGTGCTGACTCCGCTGGCGAGTATATCTCTAAGATGTTGCGTGGTGTTCTTGCTGAGCACGGGACTCTTTCTCAATTCTCTTGTCCTAGTGCTCATGCTCAGAATGGTGTGGCTGAGCGAAAGCATCGACATCTTCTTGAGACGGCTCGTGCATTGATGATTGCCGCCTCTCTCCCGCCTCATTTTTGGGCTGAGGCCGTCTCCACATCCACCTATCTTATCAATATACAGCCTTCCGCTGCTCTACAGGGTGGTGTTCCTTTCGAGCGACTTTTTGATCGTTCTCCCGATTATTCGATGCTTCGCTCGTTTGGTTGTGTTTGCTATGTTCTTCTTGCCCCTCGCGAACGCACCAAACTGACCGCTCAGTCTGTTAAGTGTGTCTTCTTAGGCTACAGTGATGAGCATAAGGGCTATCGTTGTTGGGATCCTATTGGTCGTCGGATGCGTATCTCTCGAGATGTGACTTTTGAAGAGTCTCGTCCCTTCTACCCACTCCCATCTTCCTCGACTTTTTCAGTGCAGGATATCTCTTTCCTCACTTTTCCTGACTCACCTATCACTCCCGCCGAGACTGTACCTCTCCGTTCCACTTTCTCTCCTTCTCCACATCTAGTTGATTTGCAGCCACCATCATCCCCGGTCTCCTCGCCTCGCATGTCACCGGGTTCTCCACCTTCATCTCCGGTGACTTCCTCCCCGGTCTCCTCTCCCAGCCTGTCACCGGATTCTACACCTTCATCTCCGGTGACTTCTTCGTCGCCACCCCCTGATTCTACCTTGCCGATTCCTCCTTCTATTATTCCATCTTTTCCTCAGCATTACACTCGTCGTCCACGACCAGTTGATGCCTCTGTGGATGGGTCGTCATCTTCCTCTCAGCCTACTTATGGCTTGCGTTCTCGTCCTCGTTCGCCTGTTGATCGCTTTGGATTTCCCACCGCTGGTGCTGCTGTTCTTGAGCCGACTTCTTACTGTCAGGCTGTTGTTCATCCTGAATGGCAGTTTGCGATGGCAGAGGAGATTGCTGCTCTTGAACGCACTGGTACTTGGGATCTTGTTTCTCTTCCTCCCGGAGTCCGTCCGATCACTTGTAAGTGGGTCTACAAGGTTAAGACTCGCTCCGATGGTTCTCTTGAGCGTCACAAAGCTCGTCTTGTGACTCGTGGTTTTCAGCAGGAGCATGGTCGTGATTATGACGAGACTTTTGCTCCTGTGGCTCATATGACCACTGTTCGTACACTTCTTGCCGTTGCCTCTGCACGCCACTGGTCTATATCTCAGCTTGATGTTAAGAATGCCTTTCTTAATGGTGAGCTGCGTGAGGAG